GCTGATGTCCCCATATTTAAAACAAAAGATCAATTTCTTGGAAATTATATACTTGGTTTACCTTCAACCTTCTCTTCCCTTAAAACAAAAGGTCTTTTAGCACAGGCACCGCCCTTGGAGTTTCCAGCACCACCCTGGGGATCACTTCCTCATCAAAACGTAGAAAGAAGGGAAAATCAAGCAAGCCTGGGAAGGACCCTACCTTGTGCTGCTAACCACCAAGACTGCCGTTCCTACAGCAGAAAGGGGATGGACACATCACACCCAAGTCAAGCAAACGCCATTATCATAAGAATCATGGGCCATTGTTCCTGGATCAAGCCCTACCAAATAAAAGCTGAGAAAAGCTTAGTCTATCTATTCCTTTCCTAACCCAGTTGCTACATCCATTACTACTCCTACCACTAGCAACTGTAACCCCACTTTAGAGCATTTCTGCGCTCTAGGAGCAGAGGTCACTGGAAAGGATCCTATAGGCTTCTTTAAGATGCGCTTTGTTCTCCCTCCTTCACCTCCTACAACTGCCCCTTTCCCAAACCTATGAAATCAAACTATGCCTTGCCTCATGCCAGATGACAAAAGTAAGGTCTCAGCAGTAGAAATAGGAGACCTAAGGTAAACCATAGCCATTGAAACAGGGTATAAAGATGTAAATGCCTGGTTAAAATGGATTAAATATTCCTTTCACACTTCAAACAAAAGCAACTGTTAGGCTTGTGTGCACGGTAGGCCAAAGGCCCAGGTTGTTCCCTTTCCACTGGGGTGGTCCTCAAATCAAGCGGACATGGAGTGCATGGTAGCTCTTTTTCAAGATTCCACTGCCTGGAATAACAAATTGTACCAAGCTCTTTCCCCGCTATTTCCTGAAGCGCAACACCCTGTGGGTCAGCCCCTGAGGGCCATCCAGTCTCCATCTTCCAAAACCAACTTTACCTTGTGTCTCTAATGACAAGAGGAAAATTTTGGCATTCCTTGGAGACTTAACAGGATGCAGTGAAGTCAGGCACTTCCAAGAGCTGATCCATCAGTCTGCCCTTACTCATTGCTGAGCGGATGTATGGTGGTATTATAGAGGACCTTTACTGGACACTCTGCCAAATAATTAGAGCAGTACTTACACTTTAGTTCAATTGGCTATCCCTTTTACCTTGACATTTCATCAACAGAAAAAGAAAAAAACTGTAGCCTCGATTCTTACCTCTTTAACAACTATAATAAGTGTACTCTACTCCTTCATCTTAGGTATTATGTTGTACCACACATCCAGGAGTTAATCAAAACAACTAAGCCAACACATGTTAATCAAGTTTGAAGAGGACAATTAAAAGAGGAGGGATTGTAGAAAGTAAAAAGTTTCCTCTTTAAAGATTTCCTTCTTGTTAAAGAATAAATTATAAGTGTTAGAAATAATAGTTTCTTTTAAAGACTTTCTTCAAGCCTCCTTGCTTTGTGCCAATAACTCTTCGTTAAGTCCTATCCTATGTAACTGTTGGACGTGCTCACAGGCAGGTTCCAGCTCACAGCCTATGCCCCTTCCTTATTTGGAAACGTTATTGCTTCCTTACACCTTTCGTAAGCAACTTCTTTGTTCTTCCCTGCATTTACCTATTCAGAAAAGTTTCAGGTTATTAGCAAATCAGGTATCAATTTAAGATTGTGAGGTTCCAGCCTGACCAACATGGAGAAACCCATCTCTACTAAAAATACACAATTAGCCAGGCATCGTGGCACATGCCTGTAATCCCAGTTACTAGGGAGGCTGAGGCAGGACAATTGCTTGAACCTGGGAGGCGGAGGTTGCAGTGAGCAGAGATCGTGCCATTGCACTCCAGCCTGGACAACAAGAGCCAAACTCTGTCCTAAAAAAAAAAAAAAAGATTGTGAGGTCCCACTCCAGCCAATGGATGCAGGACACAGCAGTAAGGATAACCCAAATGCGTAAGGGATAAATATTTATGTCTCATTTTCTTTTGTTCAAGGGTGCTCTCGCCATGGTTCCATCTGCGACTGAATGCCCTTTCTGCACAAAGTAAAGATGGCCTTGCTGAGGGATCTTTTGTCTCTGTGCCGACTTTTCTTTGCCGCACCAATGATCTATTTCTAACAATTTTGGTATTTCTAACATCTTTTATATCCTTATTAGATTTACTCCTAGACATATATTTTATGCCATTGTGAATTGTATCTTTGAAACATACAATATATTGTTTGTTGCTGAGAAATAAAAATGTACAATTTCCTGTTTGTTGCTGGCAAATAGAAATCATATTTATGAACAGATTTTTATCTCCAGCAACCTCCCCAAACTCTCCTGCTAGTTCTGATACCTTATCTGTGCATGCCATTGGAGTTTCTATTATTGGAGTTTCATATAATCGTCAAATAATGACAGTGTTATTTCTTACTTAGTAGTCCTTATATGTTTTCTTTCTTTTTCTGATTTATTGAGATGGCTTGTGACCTAAAGCACTGACTCTAAGGGTGATTGAATTTAGATTCATATTTTGAAGGTAGAGCCAACAGGATTTGCTGACTGACTGTATTTAGACTATGACAGAAAGGAATCAAGGCTGAGTTCAACGTTTTTCCCCTGAGCAACTGGAAAAATGGCTTTGCCATTTACTGCAGGCAAGACCAGTAGTTTGTTGAACATGTAGTGCAGTTAATTAAATGAAGAAAAAAATGCTCACTGATATTTATTAGCAATGATCTTTCTAACAGATGTTAGCCTGGTATTCCACTTTCGAACTAACTCACTCCAGTCAGGATTTACATTCACAAATACTCCCGGGAGGGTGTAGCTTATGGCTTTCTGTTCAGCCACTGCCATCTACAGGGGGCTTCTCTGAATATAAACTGTGCATGCTGATTATAATCTAAAAAATATCCAGGCAGGGTGGCTCACGCCTGTAATCCCAGCACTTTGGGAGGCCGAGGCAGGCCGATCATCTGAGGTCGGGAGTTTGAGATCAGCCTGACCAACATGGAGAAACCCTGTCTCTACTGAAAATACAAAATTAGCCTGGTCTGGTGGCACGTGCCTGTAATCCCAGCTACTCGGGAGGCTGAGGCAGGAGAAAGGGAACCAGGGAGGCAGAGATCGCGGTGAGCCAAGATCGTGCCATTGCACTCCAGCCCGGGCAACAAGAGTGAAACTCCATCTCAAAAAAAAAAAAAAAAAAAAAAAAATCAAAAAAATATATGGGATAATTTTCCCCTCCAGCCTCCTCAACCCTTCCTGTTTCCACAACACACACACACACACACACACACACACACACACACACACACTCCTACCTTGTTTTCAATCCTCCCCCAGGTCAGACAACTGTAAGAGAAACTCCTACCTAGGAAACTGAGTCCCTGCAATGCACTTACAAGTAGCTTCTCTGAAAAGAAAGAGATCATGGAAAAGCCAGCTGCATTTCCAGGGAGTTAACCTAAGAACAATAAGAAACTGAGGGCGGTGGCTCAAGCGAATAGCACTGGAGGAGATGGGCGCACAGGTCGGGATCGAGCATCTGGCTACAAGTGACCCGTCTCTTAAATACCCAGGCAGCTGTAGTGCTACCGGGAGGCTGGGAGGAAGGCGGAGGCAGTGAGCTGAGATCCACTGATGGGTGCAGGGAGACTCGTCTCAAAAAAAAAAACAGTGAGGTGCCAGGTGCGTGGCTATGCTTAACCAGCTGAGGCGGATGGATCAGAGCCGAGACCATCTGGCTACACAGTGAAACCGTCTCTAAAAATAAAAAAAAAAAAAAAATTGGCCGGGTGTGATGGCAGGTGCCTGTAGTCCCACCTATTCAGGAGGCTAAGGCAGGAGAATGGTGTGAACCTGGGAGGCAGAGCTTGCAGTGAGCAGAGATCAGGCCACTGCACTCCAGCCTGGGCAACAGAGCTAGACTCCGTCTCAAAAAAAAAAAAAGGAAAGAAACAGCGAAAGGGAGACTCCTGCAAAAGAGATCCAGGATCACTCAATAAGGCTTCATTGTCCTAGCTAGAATACCAATTTGACCATCCTTTATCACCTGGCTGTCAAAGGATTGGTAAAGCCTTAGGTGTTGTTGCACAAAGAAGCAAAATTCTAAAAGCTTGCTCATTTAACAATCCAAAGTCCCACTAACCTACCCACCCTGATATTTATTCAACACACACATCGGCTATCTCATTGGAGTAAGGGTGATGAGTTGGCTACCTCTCCCCTCTTCCACTTCTCACCCACCACCCAGTCTCAAAAATGTAAGCTCCAAATAGGCAGTGACAATTGTCTTGTAAACCCCTCTGTCCTCAGTATCCAAAATGATGCCTGTCATACAGTAGGCATACAATATTTCAGAATTAACATTTTAAAGGCTTTTAAATACTTAAAAGAGCTAGATTTTCACTTACAGTAAATAAAATCAGTGTTGTTTAAAATCAGTGAGTCAATAAATAGCATTGTCACTACCTGAGATAAATGTTACAGGAAACAGCTGATGGAATTTAAAAACTTTGCTTTTAAGGATTGAAACCCTATTGGGAAGCGACTGCTGTTTTTTAAACACAGTTTTTACCACTATAATTTTTATTATTACGTGCAATTACTTGTCTACATGTTTACATTATACACATATGCAACACATTTCCAACATCCTAACACGATTATTCATTTTTGTGTGTGATCTGCCTTATCCATATATACAAACATTCATATTAATACAGTTGTTTGCAATCATAGCTATGTATTTTTACATCTGGGTTTTTTTTTCACTTCACATACTGTTTCCTAAACAGCTTTCTGTGTTTCTACACTCGTCATAATAATTCTCAATGACTGCATGATATTCTAACATGTTAGTGTAGCACAATTTAGCTAAATAAAGTGGAACATGTAAGGTTTCCATTTTTTGCCTTGGAGATAATGCTGATAAGAGTGGCAGACACGTGGTCTCATCTGTTTTGCTTCTTTACTTCTGATTAATCATATTCTCGAAATCCATCTAAGCGTCTCCATATCCAGATTAGGGACTGCGAGCGACCAGCCTGCGCCAGCACAACCCGGACCAAGGACCTCCGCGGCTGAGCGGCCACTCCGGGAGGGGCTCTGCGCGTCCCCGCCCCGCACCGCGTCACCGACGTCCCGCTAGGCTGAGACCTGCGCGCGGCGCGCCAGTGGCCGCTTTTCCGCGGACAAGCGGGCGGTGGGGGCGCCAGCAGCTCGGAAGGCGGGCACGCGGGCCATGGCTCCCTGGGCGGAGGCCGAGCTCTCGGCGCTGAACCCGCTGCGCGCGGTGTGGCTCACGCTGACCGCCGCCTTCCTGCTCACCCTACTGCTGCAGCTCCTGCCGCCTGGCCTGCTCCCGGGCTGCGCGATCTTTCAGGACCTGATACGCTATGGGAAAACGAAGTGTGGGGAGCCGCCGCGCCCCGCCGCCTGCCGCGCCTTTGATGTCCCCAAGAGGTAACCGAGCCGCGGAGGCCCAGGCGCGGAGAGTTCAGGGCGCCCCGGCTCGCGGGCAGCCGACAGGGGGCAGCAGAGGCGGGACCCGGCCTAGGAGGCCCCGGCGGGTTCCCGGGCGCAGCACGGCGCTCCCTCCGCCAGACCCCGGCCATGCCCGGGCTGCTGCGTGGCTCGGGGGAGCAGTGCCCAGGTGTCCGCGGACGCCGAGGGAGAGCGGAGCCGCTTGCACTCGGCTGGAGGAATGTGAACTTATAGCCGCACGGAGCCTTTCCCTGTGGGAAATGGCGACGCATCCGAATTTAGGCCTGGTCATCCGAATTTAGGCGGCAAAATGAAGTCCCCCTTGCCCCAGATTCTCCTCTTGCCCGTCCCCTGCACTCCAGTGGCTCATACTCTAACTTGAGGTCACCGGAATCATTTGTGGAAATGAAGTCAGGCTGGCTCTTCGGCCTCGGCTTCCCCCATTTCTCTCCCCAACCCTCGCAGTGGGAACAAAGGACTGAGTCGCCCTAGCCCGCACCTAGGCAGGTGCCCCTGGGGAAGGTGATCCAAGGTGCACGTCATAGGCAGGCCCGTCCCGAAGCTCCATTTGACTTTCGAAAGATTCTGTAACCTAGTTCAGCGAAAGATTAAATCGTCAGGGTTTGAATAGAATCAGAGATTGTGAGACCTGTTATAATTTTCTTCTCCTTTTTCCACTTTGAATTCAGGACACAGCTGGAAAGAGTTGGCCAAATACTATTCGAGATGGTAGAAATAGAACAGTGCCTCTTAAGATGCATTTTAGGCCGGGCGCAGTGGCTCACGCCTATAATCCCAGCACTTTAGGAGGCCGAGGCAGGCGGATCGCTCGAGCTCAGGAGTTCGAGACCAGGCTGGGAAATATAGTGCGACTCCGTCTCTCCTGAAAATATAAAACATTGGCAGGGCGTGGTGGCGTGTGCCTGTAGTGCCAGCTACTTGGAATGAAGGCAGGAAGATCATTTGAGATCAGGCGGTAGAGACTGCAGTGAGCTATAATCATGCCACTGTACTCTAGCCTGGGTAACAGAGAAAGACCTTGTATTAAAAAAAAAATTTTTTTTAAGTTTAAAAACATCTGGGTTATCCCTTGAAACACTCATAGGCAGTGCCCCAGGTCCGCAGGCAACAAAGGGACGAGTATAACGTGGCTTCTAAAACTTGGATAATCTGTGAGTTTTGACTGTCAGAGAAAGATGTGTCAGGTGTTAACACAGAGAAGGGAGAACCAGGTCATTCTGAGGCACCCTAAAGGGAAGAAGTAGAAGTACATGAAACAAACTGATCAAACCTCCTGTTTCCTAGAGGCTCTCTTTAAGCAAAAAATTACCTGTTACCCCATTTATAATCAGGGTTAAATCCTTTTAACTTCGCAGCAATTTATTTTCTGAGTTTTGAGAAAGGTACTAGTCTAGTGTACCTGGATTAAATGGCACCTGTAAAATCATCCCCTGAACTTGCATACACACCAGCTGTTGCAACTCAAGTCTGTTATTATATGACAGTCAAAAAAGAGACTTGGTGCCTTATCCTTATTCATTACTGTAACAATTGGTACTCTTTGGACTTCCTGTAATTTCTACTGTATTGTGAAATAATTTACACCTTTTTCTTCTTCCAGAATTCTACAGTAGAACCTCCCATAGTGTTCAAGTGCCCTTTTTTCCCTCTCTCTCTCAATTTAAACAGACGTTTCTTTTAGTACTGGAGAAGGTACAAAATATCCAGACCAGTAATGAAAGGCATTTTTATTCCAACAAAAAAAAGATAACTTGCATCAAAACTGGCAGTGTCTCCAAAAAATTAATACATGTATTACTCTCTTTTCAAATTTTGTACCCCTGTTTATATGAAAAAGGGAGATAGACTTGGGTGGAGGTAAGAGTCTATGGCCTCTTTTTTATATGTCTCTGTATTTTCCAAAGAGTCTTCATTGACAAGATGCTTATCACTTTTATCATTTTAAAAAAATGTGTTAATGGCTAAGGAGCATGTAAGAGAGATTTTACTGGTTTATTAATAGTAACCACCATTGACTAAGTGCTTACGTATATGATTATGTGATGACTACTAAGGAGTACATGCCTTTCCTCACTTAATCCTCACAGTAGACCTGTGAGGGAGATGTTATTGTCATTATTCCCATTTACACATGTGCAAACTCAAACTTAGAAGATCGCACTTGTGCAATGATGCTAGTACTAGCAAGGGTGGTACCTGAACCCTGCCTGTTGGAGTTTAAATCCCAAGCTCTTATGCTCTGGTATACTTCATGGGAAATATCTTGTACCATGTGAAGCTCAATCTGTGTGAAAGATCAAGTAGGAATGGATTTATCCCAGATGGTAGCATTTAGTAAATATCTTGGTTAATCCAAATTTAAAATCATTTGGTAACGTTAACCTTGATACTTATATTTGAATATTTTTCCTGTGCAAAATCTAGTAGTACTCTTTTTTTTTTGAGATGGAGTCTCACTGTCACCCAGGCTGGAATGTAGTGGCTTGATCTTGGCTCACTGCAACCTCTGCCTCCTGGGTTCAAGCAATTCTCCTCCCTCAGCCTCCTGAGTAGCTGGGACTAGAGGTGCACACCACCATGCCCAGCTAATTTTTGTATTTTTTAGTAGAAATGGGGTTTCAACATTTTGGCCAGGCTGGTCTTGAACTCATGACCTCAAGTGATCCACCTGCCTTGGCCTCCCAAAGTGCTGGGATTACAGGCATTAGCCATTGCACCTGGCCCTCTAGCAGTACTCTTAAAAATGAAAAGAAGTTCATAATTGCTATAGTTAAAAATAGGCAGTTGTAAATCACATTTCTGCAAATAAGGTAGTATGTAGGTAATTTTGTTTGGAATTGTTTTTTTCTTTCCTAAGGAGGCAAGAATAAAACCTAAAATCGGTTCTTGGAATGTTTGTTTCCATGACTCCTGTCTGGTAGATTTTTTTTTTTTTTTAATTGAGGTGATGGTTGCTTTTTTTTGTTTTCCTTTTGGTTCCTAGAGTCTTGATTTCCCAGAAAGTCTGAATAAACAGGCAACCTCGAACATGTATCATGATGCTCTGGGTTGCATAGTGAATGTAGAAGAACTTCTTAAATTTCAAAATGATTCCAAATGGTGTCGAAGCTTTGCAATTGAATTGGGCTCTAGAGGCAAAAAGAGCTGCCCAGACTTTCCCCACTGGAATCCAGGGAGCATTAACTGGAGGTTCAGAGGATCTGTGGATAGAATTCAGGGCAAACTTGGATTGGAAGAAAGTTATGTCTTTATTTTCACTAACCTCTAGCTGAAATTTAGCATTGCCTTAATTATGAATATAATCTACAAACCACAGTAGAATTAGCAGTACCTGCAACTCTGTGATAGTTTTTTTATATTACATTAAGAATATTGATGATACCTCAAAATATTACTGTTTTCATCGCTATGAGAACACTGTAGTCTTTCACCACTAGATCTTGTTATTAGACACATTAAGAAGTATACATATTACAGGCCAGGTGCAGTGGCTTACGCCTGTAATCCCAGCACTTTGGGAGGCTGAGGCGGGTGGATCACCTGAGGTTGGGAGTTCCAGACCAGCCTGGCCGAAATGGTGAAACCCCATCTCTACTGAAAAATACAAAAATTAGCCAGGCATGGTGGTGAGCACCAGTAATTCCAGCTACTCGGGAGGCTGAGGTAGGAGAATAGCTTGAACCTGGGAGGTATAGGTTGAAGTGAGCCAAGATTGCGCCACTGCAGTCCAGCCTGGGCGACAAGATTAAAACTCTGTCTGAAAAAGAAAGAAAGAAATATACATATTACTATATTGCAAATTTGTTTTTTAGTAGTTGCATTACTTGTATGTCACTATAATTGGTTTCCTTTGTAAGCCCGCTGCATTTTACTTTATGCTTGTATAATTTTTTTTGTAAATTGACAATTTATCATCGTATAAATTTATAGGTTACAAAGTGATGTCATAAATTGTGGATGAGATGTGGAATAATTAAATCAAGCTAGTTAACATATCCAACACTTCAGATACACTTCTGTGATGAGAACATCAATTTTGAAATGTGTAATACTCCATTATTAAGTATATGCAACACACTGTACAATATAACCCAAAAAAGGCATAAAACATATTTTTCCTGTATAAGATTTTGTACCTTTCGACTATCATTAATTTTTTTTTTTTTTTTCAGACGGTCTTACTCTGTCATCCAGGCTGGAGTGCCATGGCCCAGTCTCCGCTCACTGCAACCTCCACCTCCTGGGTTTAAGCGATTCTCCTGCCTCAGCACCCCCAGTAGCTGGGATTACAGGCATGTGACACCACACCTGGCTAATTTTTTTTTGTATTTTTAGTAGAGATGGGGTTTCGCCATGTTGTCCAAGCTGGCCTGGAACTCCTGACCTCAGATGATCTGCCCACCTTGGCCTCCCAAAGTGCTGGGATTATAGGTGTGAGTCACTGTGTGCCTGGCCTAAATTTTCTTTTTTTTTTTTCTTTTTTTTTCTTGAGACAGGGTTTCACTCTTGTTGCCCAGGCCGGAGTGCAATGGCGCAATATCGGCTCACTGCAACATCTACCTCCTGCGTTCAAGCGATTCTGCTGCCTAAGCCCCCCAGCAGCCGGGAACACAGGTATGCACCACCATGCACAGATAGTTTTTGCATTTTTAGTAGACATGGGGTTTCACCATGTTGGCCAACTGGTCTTGAACTCCTGACCTCAGAAGATCCACCTACCTACCTCGGCCTCCCAAAGCACCGGGACCACAGGCGTGAGCCACTGTGCCCGGCCTCGCCTAACATTTTTATGAGACAAAATATCAATTTCAAACCAGCATCAAAAAGTGAGCAGGCCAAGCACGGTGGCTCATACCTACAATCCCAGCACCCTGGGAGGCCAAGGCATATTTTTCTGTGCTAAAAATATGTATTTGTCTCTACTAAAAATACAAAAAAACAAAAAAAAATTAGCTGGC